TGAATGGCCCCTATCACATCTCCCCTCTTTGAACACATATCCAACTGAACCCTCAAGTGTACTTCAGGTGCATTAGCCTGATCTTTCTTAGACCTTTTCCCTACCCTTTTCTCTTTCACCACCCCATCACCATCCTTCTTGGTTTTTCCCTCTACTTTTTCCTTAGCCACTAAATTGTTCACACTTTTAGAAGATTTCTGTTTAATACCCATATTCTCATCTTTACCCCTCAATGAAGAATTCCCAGAACCCATGTCTCTCCCTCTCTCAAAATGTTTATCTCTATTTCTTGCGTTCTTATCCTTTGCATGCCTCTTACTTTCAGACTTCCCTTCCAACGCTGAACTAAAAAGGTTCTCCAAAGAGTTTCTCTCCGCTCTCCCATTTCCAGACCTTAAAGAATTAAACCCAGAACCAGTTTCCTTCTTACTCTTTGAATTTCCAGTCTTTGTTGAGGTTTCATAGTCTTTTGTGGATAACTTTGCATGAAAGTGGAGTCTAACATGTCTTCTATCTACAAAAAGTTGAGATATTTTGTGTTTGGGAGGTGAAGGGATAAGATAATAAGCGAAACAATGGAAGTTGAAAACATTGAAAGATGAAGGATACTTACAGAGAGTGATGGAACGGAAGTGTCTTTGCTGTTGCGGGGTATTGAAAGTAAAGGAGGCCATGTGTGGCCGTTAGGACACCCTTGTCTTTTTGATATGGTCTTGCAGTAATTAATAACTACTATTCGGACAGCTGCTATGGGTTCGAATTAAAAATAAAACAAATAAACAACAAAAATTCCCCTTGTTGGCATGGAGAAATTTTCCTAAACTTTAATCTTATTCACAAAAACAAGATTTATTGCAACTTTAAACCTCTCATTTGAATCTCATACTTGTTGTATATTGTCTTACCAATATTTTTGTTTTGCTCAATTTCACCTTACGTTTCAAAGTTTTTTTAATTATAAAAAAGGGAAATGATTTAATATTTTTTTAACTCATTTTAGTTACAAAAAAGATTATACATAGATTTAATATATATATATATTTTTGCGGCAGTGAAAAATCAGAGCAATTTTTAAAATAATCATTTTCCTTAACCAAAGCAAGTTGGAGAACTTATGCCAGGCTTCTTTTTTTTTTTTTTCCTAGATCATTTTTCCATGTTCTTCTAGAAGAAAGCTTCGAAGGGTTGTACCAGCTTTGAAACAACTCTAGTGCCACAGATGTTACAAGCTGTAGACAACCAAGTTCAGAAATGGACTAACATTTTCGAGACAAATACAAACTAATTTCTTTTGCATCTATTAACCAAAAATACTGACAGAAGAGAATGGAAATAATAACAAAAATTCTTGAGCAAAACAAGTGCAGCACTAAGGCATCTTCCGACCATGTGAGGTATCAGGAAATCGAACAAAGCACGCCCCAAACAAACTGGAAAAACTCAATTTCACTAGCAAGAGCCGATCAATTAGGAAAGGATTGGTACTAATGATAAAATCCGCTTAAACCTGCAATTAAAATTAAAGGCAGCATTCTACACTTTCAGCATGAATAATGGAGTGCATTGAAAATGCCCTTTTGCAATACCACAATGTCCAAAACCAAGAAAACTACAGGGGAATGAGAGGATATAAGGCTATAATAACATGCTATTGTCAACATCAGTTTTAATAGTCACCAATATCATCTTCATTGAGAAAAGAATCGCTATTAAACAGTGCAGGCCACAACTAAAATGGCAAGCAAACTAATATTGACACGACCTAGACAGGATATACAAAAAATGACAGCAGCAAATGGTCTGGTTAGATTTACTTTGGTCCCCATGTTTGATGGAGGTTTCACTCAAGTATGCTAACTTCCATTACCGGAAAGAACTTTGACACTCGTCAGTATAACACATGATCAAGAGCTTACTAAAGCTTATAAATAAGGCAGAAAGAAAGACTGATCACCTTTTTTTAAAGTTAACGAATAACACTTCAGCATGATTATGTAAAGTTCATCCATGCTGAGAGACATTTGGGGAAAAAAGGGAAACTGTCAACAAAAGGAACCAAAGCATATATCGATGTCAATTGCAATCCGCATTCCTCAAACATACAGGGTGAACTACAAAATCTTATCCCTCTGAAACCATGGAAAACAGAAAAGAGAAAGGCCTCAACATGAACCCAACATTTCTATCATTGTTCTTCTCCAAAAAACTCACTGCAAAGGAGGCTGTCATAAAGGCATTGAGATACCTGCAATTCAAACACGGTGAACATCACCATTGTTACTGATTTCATGTCAAAGTACAAAAAATATGCTTCAAATTACAGCTTCAAATAATATACCAGTCTGCAGTTAGATAATTAACCAAGATCATCTAAACTTTTTAGTTACGAAATCCAGAATTCGATAAACCACATATCTGCCTCGAGTTTAACTTTCAAATGTTTCGTTTTATCTTAAGTTCTAGCAACAAAGAATGCAGCAAAAGCATTCAATTTTGAGCTTTCAGTATATCATAGGACACACAATTTATTGTTCTATCAATTACAATAACCAAAACAAATCCGAAATAGAATTCCAATTAGATGATTAGATAACAACAAGCTATTTGGCCACCATTAATTTTTTATGTAAAATTAAAAGGCTTGCATTAGAAGTTCCGGATCCAAATGCTAACTTTGCTTTCTTGTTTTTTTTTTTTTGTTATTATGTTGTTTGTTATTTTATCATCAACATATACTTTTCGGCTTTGGAATAAATATAACAAAAAAATAATATTAAAGAAAATGAAAAATAAGTTAAATAACCTTGGGGAACTAAACTCCAAGTCCCAGACTCAGAAGCCAAGCTCGATATTAATCGCGACGAAGCTATAGCGCTGTGGAGCGGCATCGTCGACCCTACACTACTCAGCCCCAATGCTAACCTTATTTTTCATTAAAAAAACATAAAACGAATTATAATCATCGAAAATTAAAGATTCGAACACACGAAAATGTTAAATAAGATTAAATCTCCCACCTTGAGACGCGAGAAATGCGCCTAACAGAAGAATCTGAAGTGGATTGGAGAGCAGAGAGTGAGGTTTTGTTGAGCTTGAGAGTCGGAGACTGTAACCGAGACGATAACCTAGACATGACCTTCCAAGACGACGCCATTTTTAGATTTTGATTTGATTACGGTCTTTCACTCGATTTCCTTCTTGGAATTCTGGCGGAAACGAGTTGGTCTTAGGCCAAGCAGGCTTGATTTTGTTGCACCCTGGCTGACGGGTGACAAGACCAATAGATGAAGTCCAAGAGTCCGTGGTCGTTGGCCCATTACCACTTAATTTGGGCTTGATTTTGGACATTTCTATTCCTCACGAGTTCATCAGTTCCTTCGTCAGTACTCTAAAATCTAAATCATTTCTTAAACAAATAGCATGACATGGTTCATCTAAATAAGAAAAAACTAGAAAACAAAAAAAAATACAATACCTGCCCCAACTTACGCTCAGCCAAATCCGTAATTTGATTTGCCACCAACCTTTAATCAACAATTAAATGACCGCCACCCTGGGTTTCAATGCATTCAACTTGTGACTGCTGGCTCTCATCCACTTGGGTATGGCTCAATTTAGTAGAAATCTTATGTTCAAGTTGATATTATATATATATATATATTACTCGTTTTGAATACATATTGAAAGTTTTAAATCTCTTTGTGAATTAATTTCATTTTGAAATATGAAGAAATTAAACACCATAACGAATATCTTAATAAAAAAATTTATTTGCAAAAATAAATAGCTGAACAATAAAAATATTTAATTTAAATAATTACGATACTTCCTTAAACTTAAAATATGCAACAAATAATAAATGTATTTTGCAAATTATAGAAAACAATATCACTAAATAATAAAAACAAGACATGAAACATGAACATGTGACATCGTAGTGGCAAGGCACCAAAATACAAAAATTAAACATAAAGAAAACAAAAGGCCAAAATCAAATTACCAAACACTTATGATAATATTCCAGCACTCATTCATTTACAAGTGCTATTATTGGTACCATTAATAATGATGGAAATAGCTGAAAGCCATTAATGTAGTAATAATTAAGTGGAAATGAATCGAATCAAATCAAATCTATTGCTAATTCCTTTCCAAGCCAGCATTTTCCACAAGTTAGTGCACTCGTGTAAGAAAACTATAAATATATATTATTCTCCCTTTGAAAATGGATGGACAAATTAGCCATCGATGACTTTCTTGTTCGTGAAGTAACTCAACAACCGATTGTACTTAAATAATACAATCAATTAAACAAGGTACAATAAATTAATGGGTTAATTATTAAGTTGACAACGCAATTACAATCATTTTTCAAAATTTGTTAATGAATATTTATTTTTAGGAAAATATCTAGCCTATTATGATTATTACTATATATTAAAGGTAGGATGATTAAATTTAATTCAGCATTTTACCTTTTAAATTTAGATTTTTGAGAGGTGTGGAATTTACGGCGATTTGACCTAATTAATCCTCTCATAAAGATAGCATTTACGCGGTTAATTTTCAAATTAGCAGCGGCGTGACGGGGTGGCCCACGTCACGTGTGTAGGGTGTGGCTACTTTTGGGCTCCGCGCCCACGGCGACGACCAACTGCATTTCCAATTCCAACAATTTCCGGCGGACCAAGACTTGAGGATACAAGGAGGAAGAGACAGAAGAAGTCAAGACCACAATGTCATGCCTTTTCTTTTTTTTTTTAGAAAAAAAAAATCATCCTTGTTTTCCACTGGCAATAGGTTCCCACTCGCCGAAGCAAGGCCTACCACTCTGTAAATATTACAGTAATAATAGCACAAAGTCGACCCACGTGACCCATGTGACACATGTAACAGTACACCAGTTGTAATACACCTTTTAAAGTTTGCAGTCGGTTAGACATGCATAACGAAGGAAAGGGCACACCTTGAATAGTTTACAACAAATCAATGCCAAAGCTATGCTATCTTTAGACGGCCTAAGCTTATTAGTATTTAAAAGTGGATGGGACACAGGCACACAGCAGTAAATGCCCTTTTTTTAGGTAGAAAAATTGAATCCACGCTAGTGATTAAGCTTGTGATTCCACGTAGCCAAAAAGATTTATTTTTTTAAAAAAAATTTCTAATTCTAGAGGAAATCATGGTTTCCCTCTCCTCTATAGTCTTCTCTAAAGCTCTAGCTCTTTGTTTAACTTCTTGAAGAGATTGGTAAACAAAGAAAGTCAAAAACAGAAGAGAAAGCGTTGGCGATGGGCGTGACTGGAGTGTTCATGGAGGTTGGAAATGATGGTGTTGCTGTCATTACCATCTCTAATCCTCCCGTGAATGTTTTAACCGTTGCCAGTAAGTTTTGAAGAATCTTTTTTGCTTCTCCAGGTATTTGATTTCTTGTTCCCTTTCTTTTGATGTTTGGTTCGTTTGGTAATGCAGTAATTGCGGTACTGAAGGAGAAATTCAGTAAGGCTACGAGGAGAAGCGATGTCAAGGCTATTGTTTTGACCGGTGAGTTCCGAAGTTTGGTTGAATGCACCAATATTCGATTTTTCTTTTGATAGTAGTCTTACGGTAGTTTGATTGAAGCCAGAGGCATATGATATGGTTAGTTTTAAAGCTTATTCAAGTTAAGAGATCGGTTCTCTTTTTAATCACGTGATTCCTTGTTTATTTATTAGATGATCTTTCTTTTCTTGAAGAAATTCTCTTCTCTATGAACCAGACTTGATCAAAAGCCATACATAAGATGATTTGAAGTATGCATTTACGAGACTGATAGGACTGAGTATTTCTGATTATGGTATTCAATTGTTTGTTAAAAGAAAAGAAAAGTTATAGCAAAGTGAAAGCATTGGAAATATCATCATGTTAAAAGTTGTTTTGAGACTTGAGCTGATTTCCGGAGCTGGTTTACTGATTCTGTGTGTTTTCATGGTAATTGAAGGCAAGGGTGGAAGGTTTTCAGGGGGTTTTGACATCAGTGCTTTTCAGAAGGTTCCTAAGAGTGGTATGAATACTTGATTGGCTCTTTTTCTGTTCAGGTTGTAGTTGTTTATATGTTATTTTTCTGAAAGCACTTAAGAGTATCAATATTGTTGGCTTGGCAGGAGATGTTTCGGATTCACCGAATGAATCATTTGATCTCATTGTCAACACTATAGAAGGTGTTTACTTTGCTTTAGTTTAATGCTTTCTTGAATTTATTGCTTGTTAATGTTATTTAAGTATTTATTTTGGTTCAGGGTTTCTCTTTATTCAGGAATTCGCATACCGTTACAGAGTGTTATTCTTTATGTAATTGTAAAGGTTTTATTTTTCCCTTTTTTCCTGTTCTCCCTCTGTATGAGGCAAGGTAGTGCTGCTATTGAGTATGGGATCAAATAGAGATGGAAAAGAAGAGGATTTGGGTTAATCTTGGAGTAAAGAGTGATATGAAAAATGAATAAACCTGAAAGGCATTGGTAGTGTAAATAGGACATGGAAGTAGAGCAAGAAAGTGGAGATTTGGAGCTAGGAAATAGTAGTCAGATATTGAAAGTAAGAAGCAAGCGTGGAGATGCGAAATCTATATGGAAAATCACTTGTTACCAAAATGAGGTTTTTATATGCCATACATGTAAGATGTGAAATGCATTTACTGCATCCAATGTGGTCTGAGCTTACTGTGTACAAAAGAAGCTGTAGTGTACTGTAGGTGCCTGGCATTTAGAGTAAATTTGAGATAGGACAGGTATTGATTAGCGACGTGTCAAGAATCACATGTTAGATAGCACTCGTCATTTTGGAGAAAGTTGATCTCTTAATTAACCTCATGTTTGAGTCCACCATGTCAAAATTCTCTAAAACATCTCAGGAATATGGAATAAACCCGTAGACCCTGCCACAAAAGGGGTTTAAGTCACTAATTTGATTGCATAATATCATTAGGAATACCTACATGACATTCTCAGGAATGAGATTAAATTGATGGACTTGTAATTAGCCAAGATTGAGCATCTACAGTAATTATGTCTCTGGCAATGCTGGTCTTCTTTAATCCAGATTGCAAGAAGCCTGTTGTTGCTGCTGTTGAAGGGTTGGCTCTTGGAGGTGGCTTAGAATTGGCAATGGTTTGTATCTTCTGCTAGTGAGCGGCTGTGATTAACTTCTTTTATTAGCAACTTTGATTGTCACAATCATAGCACAATTGTGACATTCCACTTAATCTCATACAGGGTTGTCATGCACGTATTGCTGCTCCAAAAACTCAATTAGGCTTGCCAGAATTGACACTTGGGGTGATTCCTGGACTCGGAGGTATGGCTGCTCATTTATATAGAGTTCTAGAAAATTAGCATTGTTTGCAGAAATGGTCTTTTGTTCAGGTGAAATTTACAAGCATTAACTGATTTTGTAATATGGTAGGTACACAACGTCTTCCGAGGCTTGTAGGGGTATCAAAGGCTGTTGAAATGCTGCTGGTAAGACTGTTATGGGTAGAGCATAAACATATTATGGTGATTGATCATCATGTTCAAAAATTTGTGATCTTGATTCCTTACATATTAGATTAAAATGCTTTCCTTAATTTCGTTTCGACCATTTATTTTGCTTGGATTAGAGGAATATGTAGTCCTGGTTCTGGATGATTGGAGTCATTTGAACTTTGAAGAATATTTAATTCCAATTCAGAATTTCTTTAAATGACAAAATCTTTTAATCATTATTCATTTGCCACTGGATTTAATTTAGCTTTAATGGTTCTGATAGAACGACACATAAAACTCACTGCTGCAAGTAAGCTTTGAAAAAACAAGACCACTTTTCCTTATGATAAGAGACCCTAACCTGGGTTATAACCTTAGACATTCCATGCTTCTTTCCGTTAACTGCTTTTGCCAGTTAAAATGATTTGTCAAGCCAATTTTTTTTTGTCACTAAATCTAATTCAATAAAAATATAATCTCTTTTCAGTTTTCAAAACCAATAATGTCTGAAGAAGGAAAGTTTCAAGGTCTTATTGATGACATTGCATCTTCTGAAGAGTTACTGAGAACATCTCGACTATGGGCTTTAGGGGTTGCGGAGAGACGTAAACCATGGGTACGTTCTCTCCACAGAAGAGACAAAATTGGATCCCTGTCTGAAGCACAGGGGCTGTTAAGAAATGCTAGAGAACAAGCCAGAAGGACTGCTCCAAATATGCCTCAGCAGCTGGCATGTCTTGATGTAGTTGAGGAGGGCATTCTCCATGGAGGATATGCTGGGCTTCTAAAGGTATGTTGGTTTGGGGCCTTTGGGCTTACTACTCATTGATATATCAACATCCTTACAGAAGAATTTTCTTGTGCTGTTTCCTAATGCTAATAACATCAAGCTGACTTTCTTGGCTAGAGCTGTATATACCCCTATTATATGTTAAGTGCAGTGACAAATTTTGTCATATGTCTTACATTTTAATTTTCATTTGAACGAATTACTTTTCCATCTCATAAGCTCTACTAGTTAATTGTCTAGCACCAGCTGGATTGATATATGCAAATACATTCTTATAGAGATTTATTGTAACAGGAGGCCACAGTGGCCAAAGAGTTAGTCCTGTCAAATACTTCAAAAGCTCTCGCTCATCTTTTCTTTGCACAACGTAATGCAGCAAAGGTAACTATTGATTCTAAGAACCCCTGGTTTTTTCCTCTAGATTTTTGTTGATTCCATCTCTACAAGATTTAGGTAGCTTAGTGGGTTGGGTGAATTCTAAAACTCAGTCTTCATGATGAACTGTGCCATCTTTTGAAATGTAGGGTATTGAAATTTTTTATGGGAATTGATTGGTTGGTTTTTTCAACTTGGAAATTGTAATCTTTCAGCACTTCAATATTTTCCTTGAATTGTTACTTCTTCAGGTGCCAAACATTACTGATGTCGGTCTGAAACCAAGGCATGTAAAGAAAGTTGCTATTATTGGTGGAGGCATAATGGGCTCGGGAATAGCTACAGTTCTTATCTTAAGCAACATATCTGTTTTTCTCAAGGAAATCGACTCTGAATATCTCCTAAAAGCAATGAAAACAATAGAAGGTGCCTATTCCATTGATACAAATGATGTGCTCTTCTCTGAATATATTTTTTTAAGGAAATGATCATATTTGAGTATTTACAAACCAAAAACGTCAGTAGGTTTGTTGAAGGGTTGAATTACTGAAAGTATGGTGTGTGTACATTGTGACTTGAATAGTTTGTATGTATGTTCTGGTCATTAGCATTCTTTCTGTTAAATCAAATAGAAGACTGCATTTATGATATTGCTATTGAGAGTGAGGGAAGGAGCAGAGATTTGAATATTAGTGTGTTTAGATAACACAATATAATTAGGTCATCAATCGGTATTCCTGAAAATTGCAATTTTTGTATTTTTATGAAGGTAAAATGAAGAACTGACTTTGTTAGCCATCTTGGCTTGACTTGTTTGCGAAAGTGTGAGCATAGGGCAACCATGTCTTGTAGTTGAATTTGAACACAGGGACAACTGGAGTATAGCCCCTTAACATGCAGGGCTGGATAATGTCTTTGGTATTTTTATCTTTTTTTTTTAATATGATATAAAAAATTGTTTCTTGGATTTATTTTGGACATCAAAATTTTTCATGTCGGAGAAATTACATGCCTTTTTTCTGTGGCAGCAAATATTCAAGGCTTAGTAACTAGAGGAAAAGTGACACAGGATAAGGGGCGGAAAGCCCTTTCAATGCTGAAAGGAGTGTCCGACTATTCAGAATTTAAGGATGTGGATATGGTCATAGAGGTGGGTTGTCTTGTCATTAGGTTGTTGACATTTAGCTCCAGATTCTTGGATTGTTTTGTCTTTGCTGTTTAATTGGTGTATCAGAAGATAATCTCAAGTTGGTTAGACAGAATTTTGTTTTCTTACTCTAATGATGGGTGTAGCTCATTTATGCCAATTCACAACTAGGTGTTACTGTTCCCAAGCAGTCGACAACATGGCACTATCAATCTTTACAAGACATGATCAGGCCAGAAATTAGAGTCAGAATAAAGAAAAATTAATTGTAGTTTCTCCAGTGCACAATTTTTTATCCATCAATTTCTACTTAATAACTTCAGTTTTAATGATATCAAAGGATTTCAAAAATATAAGATGCATGTGGCCTGACTGTCTATATTAGTTGAAGTTGTTTACTTCATTTATTCCTGTTTGCAGGCAGTCATTGAGGATGTTCCTTTGAAACAAAAAATCTTTACTGAACTCGAGAAGGTCTGTTCTTCTTGCTGCATTTTGGCTACAAATACATCCACCATTGACCTTAAAGTCGTTGGGGAAAAGACCAACTCACAAGATCGTATCATAGGGGCTCATTTTTTCAGGTTATTGAACTTATTTTTTAGTTCTCTGCTAATATATTTATTATTACTATCATGATATTCCTACTTACATATCACATAAAATGAAAAACAGAAGGAGAATCCAACTTCCCTAAACCAAAAAATTAAAAACGAAGGGGGTATGCAATTGGCTTCTTCATTCCTTACTTATACATGGATTGGCATGGCGCTTGCCTTGTCACAGCCATCATCTGGTTAAAAGGAAGCATGCCGAAATGAAATATATTTTGTTGGATGCTATTACACTATTTTCTATTTTCGAAATTTTGACCACTGTTTATATGAATGCCTATTTTTTATGCTTCTCTGATCTGATCTGATTCTCTGATGAACAGTCCTGCTCATGTAATGCCTTTACTGGAGGTTGTACGAACAGAGAAAAATTCCCCACAAGTTATTCTTGATCTCCTGACTGTTGGAAAAATAATAAAGAAAGTTCCTATTGTGGTAGGTAACTGCACTGGCTTTGCAGTTAACCGAACATTCTTCCCCTACATGCAAGGTCCACATCTTTTGGTCAATTTAGGTGTGGACTTGTTCAGGATTGACAGGGTGATCAGGAATTTTGGCCTTCCCATAGGTCCTTTCCAGTACGTTCTTTCCAAAGCATTCTATATGACTTTTTAGTTTGATGTCTGTAATTGTTTCATAGACAATTTCTTTTATGGAATAGAAAATGGCTGAATAGAAAGTCTGCACTATAATTAAGTGACTTGAAACTGTTGTCTGACTTTAATGTAGCTATGGTAGGCCAAATGGTTAATGATAATTTTGGCATAACAGCAAGATCGACTTTTCCAAATCCAGTTGCTAGCACATGCGTAGTCTTATGAATTGTGACTGGAAATCTGAGATGTCTGGTGGTTTTTCTGTCTGCTGAGTTGTATGGTTTGCCATGCATGGTTCCTTATGAAGCTCTATATCAAAGCAATGCGTGTGGACTTGCGTTTACATGTGTCTTCTGAATGGATAGTGATCATTTGTGCTTTTCAATTGCAATGCTTGTAGGCTTCAGGACTTGGGTGGATATAGACTAGGCTTGGCAGCTGGGAAAGAATTTGCAAATGCATTTCCTGATCGAACATTCAGGTCTCCATTGACTGAACTTTTGTTGAAAAATGGACGAAATGGTAAAACAGAACTTTGCTTCTGCTCCTAATATTTTTCTCTTTCCCGTTTAATTCAAGTTTCTAATGCATTTTAACGTCTATCATTTGGAATCAATTAGTGTTTTTTTTGGCATTCTAGGCAAAAGCAATGGAAAAGGATTTTATATTTATGAAAAAGGAAGCAGGCCAAAACCTGATCCTTCAGTGCTACCTATTATTGAGGAGTCTAGACAGCTTATGAATATTATGCCTGGTGGAAAGGTATTATAGTCTACTATCTGAACAAAAAATATTGTATGGCATGGAATTTTGTACACCACCTTAAATTGATTATAGGGGCCCATTCTTAGCGTCATTGGCTGCATTCTATGTTAGTTAACAACGTAAATTACTCTTTTGTATTTTCTGTTCTATAGCTAATATATTTTTCTTTGATTTTAATCAACAGCCTATATCAGTTACAGACAAAGAAATTCTAGAGATGTTATTGTTTCCAGCAGTTAACGAGGCATGCCATGTTTTGGATGAGTGTGTAGTAGCTCGAGCATCAGACCTTGATGTTGCATCTGTACTTGGAATGAGCTTCCCATCTTATCGGTAAGTGACACTTCTTATTCTCTGCTAGTTGAACACCTGAAAGATAATCTCATAATGTTTGGAAAATTTTATGATTCCATTTTCAACTGCTGTAGGTTCTGCAATATTTCATATGTGGGTTTCTCTGTTGTCTACTAAGAGCTGCTGTGTGCTAATAAATCACATGCCAAATAGCTTTTCAGTTAAACTCTATCTCATGCCATGGAAATTATTTTTGGAATACCCTTTATATGTATATGGTTTGTTTACTACTATTTGATTCCTGAATATGCCAGAAAATCACCTTGCTCTCTTGCATTTCTTTTTCTGGTTTATTACTTGGGCTCTTATTTCCTTCATATCTTACAAAAATAATATCCTCTGTGGCAGTGGTGGAATCATGTTTTGGGCAGATACAGTTGGGTCAAACCATATCTATACGAGTCTCAAAAGATGGTCAGAAATGTATGGTAGCTTCTTTAAGCCATCAAGGTTTTTGGAAGAAAGAGCCGTGAAGGGCATGCCACTGGTAAGAACTCTATAGCTAGTTAAACCAATGGTGAATCAAGGCTCTAATAATCAAAGTGTAATTAAGTAAAGAACAAAAAATAATTTTGATATTCATTCTTCTTCTTCTTCCTTTGCAGAGTGCACCAGCAACATCATCTCCAAAATCGAACTCAAAGCTCTAGGCCGATGAAGGTGTGGTGGCTGCGAGGGAAAACCAATGTCACATCTGTCTTAATGCACACAAACATTAAAGGCAATAGGAAAGTTATTGTCCCTATTTCCTATTCTGAAATAATTTCTTTTGCATAAATTGGAAGGTTGAATTAGAATGAGAAATTTGTTGAAACGATCCATTTATCTGAGACTTCTCCATGATGTAGAAAATGCATAAATATCTTTAAGTGGTATTAATTATTAACCTAAACCTAAATTCAGATATGCCTACTTGCCAAGTGCCAAACCTCCTGTTTTCTTTAATGAAAAAGGAACTTTATTAAATTCAGACCTGCCTAAGACTTTTTCTGAGTTAGGTGGCAACATGGCAATTAATGACAATATGGCAAGTTATTCATGCCATTCACAATTCTGCACTTGATTTTGGTTTGGTAAATAACTGCAATAGTCAAGCACATTCCAAAGGATGAAATCTGGGTTTTGCAATGCTGTTTTGAACCACGTTCGTAGGACCGCAAATGAGGTGCCGAATTGGGCAGCTGTTCATGTCTGCTCTTCTAAGATTGATTAATCCGGACAGGGACAAGCAGGATTGCGTGCGGTTTGATGCTGCGGAAAAAGAATTATTTTGCAGCTAATCTTGGATGACCAACGTCCCATACAAGAGTGAGCTAAAATTCAAAAAACCCTGTTTGTCGCCGACGATCGTCGTCGTCGACGTCGATGATTGTTGCATTTGGGGACAACTTTGATATAGTATTGTTGATAGTCAAATGCAGAATCGTCCTTATTTGTTGACTTGTTGACTCATCTGTTTCAGTTTAAACTAGACCAAGACTAATAAAAAAGGTCCGTTAAAGTATGTCACATGTCATCTGTTGATTTTGACTCCAGCACTTGCGCTTGGAAGTCATTCCACCAAGTTTCACACATTAAACTATATATACTAGAAGAAACATTAGTGTTCTGCCATGGGGTCTTGAAAAATCATTTTGTTAATTTAGATTATTATCTTAATCATTATCAACTCTTTTAATTAAGTTATGTTAGAAAGAAAAAAACAGTATATAAAAGAAAAATTATTCAATGCATTAATATAATAAACAAAAAAATATAATAACATTTTAATTTTCTCTGTGTAAGTTAAAAATTCATTCCATATAATATACGAAGTAATAGTCTTATATATAAAGTTACAACTTTAAATATAAAATTTTGACCCAAAAAATTTAAGATTAAGTTAACTGAAAGTGATAGCTCAGCTTTTCATAGACTAGCACTAGTACTGCTACTAGTATAATTTATAGAATAGGTCCAAACCAATGACAATGAGAGTTTATAAATAAGAGATCCTCTGTAAAGTGTTACGAAGGCGAGGGAGTCTTCAACCAAAACAAAACAGAGTCAATCTAGCCTTGTATGGGTCAAGTCACTCCTAAATATAAACACTCCACTATCACATTTTAAACCATTTAAAAATTTTAATTATGTATTAAATTTATACAATATTTTCATATTAATATCTTCATGTTTTTTAATTTTATTTATAAATTAAATGTTATACAATATATATAGATATTTAATAAAATGTAAACGTGGTTGAGGTAAAAAGTCTTTGTTTAAGTCCTATTTGAAGCAGGGTAGAAATTAGGATTCTATTCTTGGATGGACCGCTTCGCCTAGGAATAGATAGGATCTATTTCAATTCTACCTATTTGATTCATATTTTAAATATTAATTCAACCTTTGGCATATAATATGTATTTTATTATTTTTTCATCAATAAAAAAAACAGATTTTATGAAATAGCTACTTCACATTGTAATATAATTTCATTTAAATGATGTCACGTAAATGTAAATATGTTCATAAAGAAGTTAAATGTATCTTTTGAAATATCACTATTGAATAACGCTAACATGAGTAGTAGATTTTTTTTACTAATGGTTAATTTTTTTATCACCGTATTTACTTAAAGTATTTGAACAGAAAAAATGAAAAAAAAAGATATATATATATATATATATATACATGCTTATAATTACTGTTTCATAAAATTATTTTTCAATTTATATTTTATAGGACCAACTTTACAATCCAATGCAATCTAAGATCGATCTGAGATCTTATAATTTTTTTAAAATAATAATTAAAGTAATAATATTTCATGATCACAAATATAAACTATGCTCAAATAGTTTATTGAATTCAACTACCAGAAAATTCATACATTTATGTTATAATTTCATTTATTGAATTATTATTAGGTTTTATTACTTTTAAAATTTTAATGTTTTGTTTAGTGATGTTAGTTATTATTTTTTTTAGTCTTTTATTATTAGTAATAGATACAATTGTTCTAAGTAAGTGAATCTTTAACTTAAAAATTAAAATTTTAAAATAAAAATTCAAATCTCACATTTTATAATTCTTTAATTTGGTTTTTATACGGTGATAATTAGTTTACGAAAACTTGTTTTAATGATTTAACGTGGATGGATAAATGTTTATATCATATGTCATCATAAAAATAACTATTTAAAAAAAAACTATAAATCATCGATAAAGTCATGAAATTATTTTAAAATAGATTTAACTTCATCAATTTAAAACTATCTTAACTGATACTTATCATTGAATCACTACCGACAAAGATAGGTTATAGTCAATTTTCATTTACAAGACATTATTGTTATTTGAGTTGTGAACGCAATAAAATGAAGCTATGATGTGAACTTGGAAAATCATTCACAAAAAGCCATACATTTCTTTCGTCGAAACATCCTGTTTCAGAAAGGAGACCAACCCAAACGTTGAACGCGGTTGTTGGTGATGTAAAACGACGTAGTGCCGACACCCTGTTACCACGATTTTCATGGGATCAAGATTAGACCGCCACGCCAAAGACAACGGCCTAAAAATCCAGGTGGCACACGAGGTATTAGAAATATTTGTCACAGATTACTTCTCGGAAAAAAAAAATCGAAAAAGAAAGAAAGTGGAAATAACATTTTCGAATTTTTTTTAGTCAAATTTCATTTTCCACACTTTGAACATCGCCACTCCAAGACTATATAAAATGCGAGGCATGGGATTTACAGTTGCTTTATATCTTCTTTGATAGAAGGCAGAAAAAAGAGCTAAAAGAGCGATGGCGCAAATTCGAGTGACGATGGAGGTCGGAAACGACGGCGTTGCCGTGATCACCATATCCAACCCTCCCGTTAACGCCTTAGCTATTCCCAGTAAGGCTCTGCTCAGCCAATCTGAATCGCCTTCTTTTGATGTCTTTCTCCGTCTTCATGTCTGACG